TCGTGCTCAACCAGCAGTTCTTCGTTGGTGAGGATGAGGTCCAGGGGTGATGGTTTGTTGTTGGTTCGGAATCTGGTTGGCTGGCAGATATGGTTGTACAGCGAGGCCATGTGAAGAAGCTCAGTGTGGCTTGACGCAAAGGAGCTAGTCGTCAGAACGGAGTGAAATAGACCGGGTAGGCTGAAATCCCCCGTGATAAGGTGTGTGTCTCTGAGGGATAGAATGAAGTGGATATCATGCAAGAGTTTTGCGTCATTTTCGAAAGAGTTGTTAAGGATGAGATAAAAATGCTAGCAAGACAGCAGGTCTGTTTGGTGTCGGGATACTGCACAGTAGAGTCTAACACGATGGTGCAACCCAGGGAGTTGCCTTAGTACAGTGCGACACCACCACATGGGGTTGCGCGATCGGAGCGGAGGACGGACAGGTGGGAAGTTGGATTGCACTCTCAATGACCTCGCCGGACAGTCATGTTTCCGTTAGGGCTATTAGGTCCGCTGGCGTTGTATTGTATTCTCAACAGTCTATTAGCTAGACAAAGAGCCAGTCTAAAACCATGGAGATAAGGAGATAAACAAGATTCAAAGCATCATAATCATCGTGGCATACTAGTTGAAGGTGAGCAACACACTTCAACTAATATGCCGCAGGAAGAATGGAACAGTTTGATAAAAAGCAGAACAAAACATTTTTAGTTTGTTTTTCACACGCCGCTGGCGTTGACAGAAGTCGAGATTGGATTTCCGGAAGTTTGCGTAGGACGCTCTGTGCTTTCGTGTAAATACAAGCAAGGTTTGCCTGTGTGACGAGTGCGGGGGAAATTATCGCGCTGTTGTCCAACAGGTAACCAGCAGTACACCGTTTTTGTTTGCAGAAATAGAGCAGTTGATGTGGTTGGAATTTGGGGATGCATGGTGTGGATTATCGGAGCAGGGCTGGGTAGGTGCGTGAGGTTCGTTTGGGGGCTGCCGGTAGGGGTATATAGGGGAACTGGTGACTCCGGGCAGTGGAGCAGTTGGTTCGGTAGTGAACAATCTAGAGACGGATAGGGTGGCGTGTGGTGAAGTTATCGAGGGAGCTGCTGCTGCTGCAGGTGTGTGGCAGACCGTGCATCTCGCCACCGAGTGGCTTCCTGGACGTAAGCGGACATCTGGTGGTGCTCGTCTTTTACTCGAATACCAGACGGTGAGGACATGGGTTGCCATGCTAGAGGAGAGGAAAGTCACCTTCAGGAGACGGCAAGCTATTTCCGTATAACTGGTTGGACGGGGTAGGCGGTGAACGTCCGTCCTGTTACATTGACAATGGTCAGTATCTGCTGAAGAAACCGCCATTGGTCGCAGCCATGCTGGTGTCGTTGTTGTATGTTTGTGCTAGGCGCATGCACTTCTGGAATGCCGTGCACTATGACGGAGCTGGGTTGGGTGGGTAGTGCTGGCTGCTGTCTGCGCGCTGCGCGCTTAGTCCAAAGGATGTCAGCGAAGATACGAATGTGCTAGGCGCCAAAGGAAACGTTGCTTTGGAGAGGGTGCGCAGACAGCGTAACCTCCTCCCTGACCGTGACTCGCTGCAAGTCAACATGAATGAGTCTTGGCTTACCGGCGTTCGGAGATAAAGGGTGGCGAATCAGTCTTGTGAGGTTGCAGGGTTTGATCTCGGGAAGGTTTAGAGCGTCACAGATTGAGCACCACATGATGGAGTCATGAGAATGTCGATTCCGAAGGTGCGGGTCGATAGGCTCTGGAACGTTCGATCATGTGACAGTTAGTTCTGGAGCCACTCGCTGCAGGCTTATTTGGAAGCGAACTTGGGGGAAGGCAGTAGGTTTCCTAGGTATGTGGGCCGCTGCCGGAAGCATTGCGCGTTACCGAGTGCCGGACGGATCGGCATCCTGTAACGAGACAACATGCGCATCCGGAGGGCCGGAAATCGGCTGTTGTCGTTCGGATAGGCCATTGAATTTCCCCAGTAGATTTCGCAGCTGCCCTTCCGGATTGAGCGGAAATACTTCTGTGCGGTTGGCGTTATCCGGCGTCTCGACCATTCGTGATGACCGGAGCGACGGCGGTTACGGCTCGTTGTTACGCGACAAGGAGGACGAGTTAGCAGGGGACGAGACAAGCGAGCCCACCATAGGGCATGTGGTGAAGGAGTGGTCACTAGAGATATCACTTCCAGAATGCACAGTGACAGGAAGGAATATCAAGGAGGTGTAGCGCAGTACGGTTTGCAGATGCGAACAGCGGATTTCGATATAATTTGCGTGGATTGGTGTCACAGGAAGCGTGAACACGTAAACACACTGAGCATGTGATGGCTTTGGAACGAGGCCCAGCAAGTTGAGCATAAATCGAGCAATTGTGCGGCGGTTGCATGTGAGTATTGGGCGAAAGCGAGAGGTCGGCATAGTCACTCAATCCCGGAGAAAGTGTTCACGGAGGAAAAAATAGCAAAGGAGCTCGCTATTCGCAGCACTTACCAGCACAGCATTATGTATCAAATGATCTTAAGACAAGTGAGCGGTTCCCTCAAACTTTCTCAAACCAGCGGCTAAACACAGTTGGATACTACTCACTAATATCGGTTTCTCCCTGGCAAGCATGCACGAAACGATCATGATTAACAACAAAAAACCGAGAGATTGGATCGGATCAATGCCGAGGATCGGCGTGAGCTCCTCCTCCAAGATCTCAAAGTCCAGTCGATGTGAGGCTCCGTCACTTGGGTTAACGACTTCGATTGTAGCTGAGTGCTTTGAATGCAGTCTGGACAACTTCCACATGCGCAGACAATCTTGATCGGGTTGGATGCACAATCCGGGACAGTGCTTCCTTGGTAGAGTGTTGACAATAGCTCCCGTGTCCAACTGGAATAGTACGGCTTTGCTTCCGATCAATAAACTTGCCTAGACAAATTTTTACGACACCCTCAGATACCCATTGCCAATTGAATGTCCCGCAGCTGAGAGTGACATGTCATGGACGGCCGCACTCATAGTGGTTGATTGGCAGTAACGAGCAAAGTATTCCCTTTTTTCACATTTCGCGCATCTCCAACCCTACCCGGACACAGCTCGCGAGAGTCCGGGTGTTACGCGGCACAAAATTTGCAGATCTCCTGTCTCACGTTAGTAGCCTTCGCTGCTTCGCATTCGGAAACGGCGCACAACTCTGCATCAATTACGAGTTTCACTAGCTGGGACTGACAGGTGGTAGAGGACTCACTGTTGCAGATATTGATGCACTGCTGGAGTGATGGTTTGCGCTGCCGCAAAAGCCGCTTTGTCGTACTTTTATCGTCGATTCCTAGAACGATCCGATCGCGTATAAGACTGTCGCTCATGCATTTACAGAACTTGCAGGATCGGCCTAAAATTTTCAACTCAGTGATGTATGCGTCGATGGATTCGTCTGGACCTCTATTGCGGGAAAACAAAAGATAGCTTTGGTAGGTCTTGTTGGTTTTGCCTTCGCACAATTCACTGAACTTCTCAATGACCGTCACCAAATTACTGGGCTCTTCCTCTTTGTTGCATTGTAATGACTCTAGCACTCAGCACGCGTCATCTCCGGTTGCGTTTCGAAACAAGGCCAGGCGATACGCCATCGGTTGTTCGTCCAAACATACCAAGGTGCAGAGATCTATTCCTTTGATCCTCCATAGTCGCCAATTATCCGCCAAATTCCGTTCCTCCATGTTCATTGAAGCAGGCATGTGAATGGCCACTGGTGATGCAAACTGCATCCGAGAGCCGCCGGTGGGGTTCGTCTTTGTCTTCTCTGACACTATTTCGCAGAACTCAGTCCTTCAGGAACAGGCATTTATTCAGCAAACTCAAGTTGGCAAAATTTACAGCCCGTTTGGCAAGCCAAACTCCTCTATATAAGTTGCACCTTCAAGTCCATAACTACCGACCCTTCTAAGTCGATGAGGTTCCTCCTTTGCTTCAGTTAAACAAACGGTGAATCCCTCACACGAATATCGGTCAATCCGTGTCCAGTAACCGAACACGTTACATCCGCCTCCCATTAGCTGTCTGGCTCGCTCGGTTGGTACGTCAGCTCACTCTGTGCCAACCCTTCCAGCACACTACTTATGAGATATATGTTCCATTTAACGAATTTGCCAAGTCCCCCAAACAGGAACTTAGCGTATAGCCAAGCATAAGACTTATCAATTGTTAAGTGGTTCATCATACCATCAACTTACTTCAAAATAGTGGTTGGCTTGGCACAAATAACAGGTATGGAGGAACCGGTAAAGGAGAATCCCAAGTCAGTCAGGTTTACCTCACATATAAAGTATTCTGATGCACCTTATCGTCGGACGGCCGTAAATCCCGAGGTATGCCGAAATGTGCGTGTACGTAGAGTCCGATCGTGAACCAAGCAGGCAGCGATGCGCACAGTCACAACAATCCAGCGGCAACCAAGGAAGAACCACGGAAGACGAGCTCGTAACCAAGTGTGTGTGTATACAGTTAATTAAAACAAAGCTGTACAACAACTGCAGCGAAGTAGGTAAACGTGAAAATGCAAAATAAGCAAATTATTTACAATCGCTACACAGGTGCTTCTATTGATTGAAGTCGCATTGTAAAAGAACCAACCGTCTACGCTTTTTATTTTATGTCTTTATGACAACCGTTCAGTTACGCAATTGTAGAGAGAAATCGGGGACATTACCTCATCCTATTTCTTTATCGCATATTGCTTAGCAAATTGATCACATTTGAGCATAGTCCAAGAAAGCTTATGCGGTGTTCATGTGTAATTTTTGATAAGAAAGGATCGAAGCAACCAGCCAAAATACGACGAATTTCAAAACGTCTACCACCAAAAGCTTTGAGAACTCGTATGTTCTGACGTTGGTGCGTGAATGAGTTCAGAACTCGTGTGAGCTTGAGCAGACATCGAAAATATGCGTGCGACGAGATTGTGTTGTTATGCTATCAAGGCAACGTTTCTAAATTAATCTCGTTCTGTTCTTTAATATTTCAGTGTCCACGTGTGCAGCAATTGATCTCAGAAAGATTTTCAACATGAAAGTAACGATCGACCCAATTATGGATGACATCTACAGAAAAGTCTAAACTAGCATATATGCCTTCAGATGGCATATTAATATTGAACTCAGCAATGTTTGTATCATGATATTTTACGCCAATATATCAGCTTTTTCTCTATGACGCGCAGCAAATATTTTTCTTCTGTCCGCACTAATAATTGATGGCCTGAACCCTAGTAAATTCAAACAACCATCAGAGACAGGACTGATAACACAAATGAAATTCTGATAACAAATACTGGGTTGAAAGTAACCCTTAATTACTGAGGATAAAGTGAGTGTCTTCGGACACCACGTGAAGAAAACACACTGGTAATTATGCAACCAATTATACCAAGTAAACCATACTTATGGTGATGTGCCATCAGTTAGTGTGGCAAGATATCTGCCCTTAAGTTGTAACTGGCCCGTGAATACTTTTCCTGACGCTCAGAAATATGTGGAATTCCTCTTGTAGCTCACAGGCGGCATTTTGGGGCAACCTTGCTCCAAAGTTCTAGGCTGGAAAACCATCGTTTACAGCCGTGTTTCAGGTGACTAGACTTTGCTGGAAACACTGCCTTTGTGTTTATTGAAAGGCGGATGCAAATCCGTTACAGAGGTTCATCCAGGTATGGTAAAAATCGTCTCCCTGCTTGTAATGGAGAAATCATTGCGGACTATGAGGAGACAAAGATGCTATTTATTGACCCCAGAAACACGGAAACCAGCACCCAACGGTTCTGGTCCCCTTAGCGATGATGACAAATATTAAAGCCATCCTTAGTTTCAAGGGAAATTTCTTGGCTTATGATAGTGGATATAGGTAGCTATTACTTTTGTGTTATTAAACTATCTTCGTGAGACTGGCGGCCATACTCATCCCTTTTCCCCTTGCATTATTAGTGTACCCAACGCATATTATTAAAAGGTGAGCTTGAACATACTGATTAGGATAATAACTGTTCTGCAGTGTCAGCCATATAGGGCCGTGAAGAAGTCTTGCTTCTTCTTGAAAATAACACGAATCGGTCGTTTGATGGATTGTCGCCTAAACAAAAACTGAAGTGCCTAAACCATATGTCAGTTTCTCGTGATGTTCATTATTTTAGTACTTTTATTATTTAGTACTTTTATTATACCTATACTTTTATTTTACTAAAAATTGTTTCCGCATCAAAGTAATGTGCTTCAAACTGGGATCAAAACCAACTTTTCCAACTGTGATTTACATCTACTAGAGATGTAGGATTTCCAGTCGATCAGAGAATAGCACGTACATACATAAATTGGTAAAATTTTGGTCCAAACTCAACAGTTCTTTATCAGACTGGATAATGTTTTATCATTGGATTTCCTAAGTCTCTGGACAAAGACATGCGAGTTAATGTAGTAATGCTGTATGGAGATTGCTCGAGCAGAACAATAGGGGCAAAATTGGCTGTTATCAAAGCAGAGTATTTAATTTTATCAAAATGCAGACTGAGACCGGAGGCCGATCTGATAAACACAAGGAATCAACAAACTGAAATATCCGGATGTTGCTGAAGATATCCTTGAGTGACAGGAAGCCTACGTCTCTTCAGCTTGTGGTGCAGGCGGAAAAAGTTTTCTGTAAATTTGTGTACCTCAACAGTAAGAAGACGGTGCTTGGAATTTGGTCTGAGGCTGCAGAGCAGGGAAATAACCTCTATTTTCTGGTGCCCAAAGGAAACGGAGACTGGCATGAGCCAGAATGTGTTCATGTTGGACCCAGAAGAAATAGAAGCAAGTTTAATTGAGTGATGGAAGTCATTTCGATATTCTTGAGGATCACGGCAATGCGTTTATTCGGTGGTTTCCAGGCGAAGAGTACAAACCACAGTGCTAGTCACTTTATCAAGCAACCAAGATAAATCATAATCTTAGGTTGCATGGCCGTCGATGGAGTTGGATGGATTCATATGGTTGATCACAAAGTTAACGCACACAGATACGTGGGGCCCTAACAAAGCGTATATTACAGTCAGCTCAGAGGTTATTCAAGAAAGAGCAGTTCTTCAAGCATGGCCACGTGCTATGCCATTTTGCGAAGACAGTTGCAGTATGGATGCGAAAGTAGGAATGTAGACGCTTGAATGGAAGCGCAGTGCGCAAATCTAAATCCAAGTGAAAAGCTGTGGTAGGAATTATCAGTGAACATGTCAAAAAACAGCTAAAAAACAAAAGAGAACTTATTGCGTCTTTTACTGATGCTTGGAATCGTGTTATCACTTGCAAACATCGCCAAATGCTGGTGCATTCAATGCCTGCGAGGTGCAAATGAGTTAAGCGAAACAAAGACTGGCAAATCAAGTATTAACACTTAACATACTGTACAAGAGTATTTTCCGGGCTACTACAACAGAGGAAAATTTATTAAGCAAAAGTTTGCTTGTGCTACATCCATCTAAACGAGGCCACAAGTATAACAAAGTTTTCGCATTATACCTTCCAATAAGATCACAATGGGTGCGGGATATAAAATAATGACTTACATGCCGCAGTTAAGTGTAGCAATATTGAAAAATACAACTGTAAAAGATAATTTGTATATTATCTTGCATATCTATAAGGTTCGAGTGCTAAATCAGAAAAGACGTATTTTTCAAGGTAACGCAGAAAGCTCTATGACAGTCAGATGGTAAGGAATATAACACTTCGATATGCCATATATACTCTTAGTAAATTGTGTGCATGTCTATGTGGGCTGAGAATTTATGGACTGAATTAGCCTTCTACTGCTCACTGATGACAGCAGTTTTGCTCTTAGCTCCATTGCGTTCTTATAGTTCGGTTAACAGTTTGTCACTGACCATGGTTTTATCATATTTCGAGAGCTAAAGTGCGCTCCAACTTAAGCCTCAGTCCATCATGATTGGTGCTTTACGGCAAGAGACTGACAAAGGTTAATCTTGGTCACACTATGGTATTATGAAAGTCAGGTTTAACACTATACCTCCGACTCAGTAAGCTGTCGGTTGGTGATAGGCGACCTCAATACATAACTGAGCAGCAATTAACCAAGACTACGTGCACCATACAGCCATTCGCACTAGCATCAAAGCCACTGTTGTCGCCGTAAGTTTTATCTTTGACATGCCCTTCGGGGAAAGTAATAGTTAGTATCAGGAATACTGCTGTATACTAAAATCTTTGCTTTTCGTTACTGAGATTCAACTTGAATGTGTACTGATGGCAGGTTTTAATATACGAAACTAACAGGGCGTTAGGTTTAAAGGTGGCAAACCGATGCTTATGAATTGCTTTTCTGGCTAAAGGGTGAGCAAAGTAAAGTAAAAGCTACAATTGCATGAGGAGTCGGACGATAGCCCAGCCTTCAATTAAACATTACACATGCTTACATAGAAGAAGCCGTAATTCTGCTTTCGTGTTAAGTAGTACACGGTTCACTAGGGTAAAACACCAGATTATTCGGTTTGTTACGGCTCCAAACTGGGGAACTGTTTGTATAGCACTTTTAATATATGTATAGAAATGAATTCCAGCACGCATCTTACTTTGTTCTTGCGTATTCCTCTAACACTTTAGCATTCTTTGAATGAAGACTTTTTGGAAGAGGCGTGCGATTCTGGTTTCCTTAATACAGTGTTCATCTATCCATCTCAAACGCATCCAGATGCATCCATCGCCATGGTAAAGAAAACGGACAGTGTAATTCCTTTCCATTTATTATCAGAGATATCGCGGTAGATATACAAAAGCCTCAGAATTACACAATAAACGACGCTGTGCTGTACAGTGTTCGGTACAGCTCGAGTATTATTTTGAACTTGGTACTTTTGAACCAATCGGCTAAATTAATGAGGCTCCATCGCTTTAGCAGTGGTACATACTTATTTTATCCATCCATAAAATGGATTTGAGGCACATGCGTGGCAGCATCTTATCAAACCGAGCACAGATGGGTCTACGACTTTCTATTGTAACGCTGCCATCGCCCCAGCTCTCTGCGTAGCCAATCCAGCCGGGGAAGAAACAAACACCGAGACCTGCTAGACCAATGTGTAGTAGGAACAGAACACGGTTAATTTTATAGAACACATGTATCATCTCCGGCTGCACGTTTCTGAGCTGACTCAGGTCACTTGTTTGGACAGATTCCAAACCTGCTAGCGGTCCGCACTGGCCAGCTGTAGTCGCACTCACGCACACCTCTCGCGTAGCAACCTGTGTTAGGATGACGGACTGATTTCATTAGCTTTCCGGTTGAGTTGCCGCAGGCCTACCTTACGTCTCGAAACCTTGTCATATTCTTAGGTTGCGGCCACGGAATATTATCCCTAAACCTCAAACGGCAGATAGATCCCATGATCTTAAGAACAGATTTTATCTAGATAACCTGCAGTACAGGACACACAGCGACAACTGCGACGTATAAACAACGTAATGATAGAGCGAACATTGGTAGCTGCTAATCTTTTTTATTATCTCGTCTTTACCAGTACAACAACCGGGAAATTCTTTTGTGGGTATCATAGGGCACCATCAAGCCAATCAGCTTCATAGACATGCTCACCGATTTTGGCATTGGGACCACAACAACCGCAGATTGACAACTAGTTGCTTTTGCATACATACATCTGGCCTAATGCGGCTTAATGCGGCCGCTTTGGCAAATGGTAAAAGGTATGAGTTTATATGATGCAACAAGATACGGAATGCCGATAAAGGACTAATCCGATGACGAGTTACCAAAATGAGCCTGCCAATAGATGAGGCCAATGGCTTACACGAGCACGTATCATCGGAGCGGGATTGATTACATTTGCGCCGAACTCAGTTTAGTAAGTGTTCCTTCAACCTGGAATCCAAAGTCTGGTAGGTACTGCCGATGTCACTGACGCTACAGTTACACACGAATTAGTGGATATAATGTGACTTGGTGGTGATGGGTTTTTCTCATCCTTTACTGAAGGTTACAGCAATTTTCGCGTTCTGTTGGTACTTACCGCCTCCA